TTCCCACTCGTCCTCAGATCTCTGTGCCAGTCTTGTTGTCCTCAGTGACGTCATCCTTTGACTCACGTTGTGTTTTGTCTCCAGCCCTGCCAGCCTACTGAAACGCTCCTGCTCTCTCTTCCTGCACCCTGAGGTCATAATAATGAGTTTTCAATGCGCTAACAAAGGTTTATTGTGTGGTGTCTCCTTTAATGCCAGTCTGCGTATTATCAGCTATCAGTATTTAGCTGCTGTGTCACGGATGGAGCTGAGCAGGATCAGTGCTGCTGGGTGAAATGATTTCCCACAGTTATCTTAAAAACTGAGTTTTCTAGGCCTGTTTCTCTGGAATGGGCGGGGACTAAAATGACAAAAACATCAACATACAGAAAAATATCAGCTCAGGATTTCACAAAAGTACAATAAAATCACAAGTTTCTTTCTCACAGACTGAGTGCAGTACAAAACTTCACCGACTTCAAAGCTGCTTCCAGGTTCATTTTTAGAGATGAGCACAGGGACGAGCTAATCATTTTCTTACTAGGCAGCAGTACAAACCCCTCCTGCATCATCATCATCATCATCATCCCAACAAAGTGGCCCCGGCTGTGTTCTCTGTATATTCAAACTCTTGATCTTATGGCGCTCCTGTAACTGCTGAAACGTTTCTCTTTCCTGTGATCTAACAGATCCTCCTGTACTGCACATCATCACATCAGAGCGAGCTCTGCCCAGTCTCACATGCTGTGGCCTGTCTCACAGGTTCTTAGTATCCAGTGGGCTGATTATGTAGCGCCTCCCTCAGTAGAAGCTGTGAAATGTTGTTTGTCATTAGTTGTTCTTATGGATTAAACAGTGTTTGTTCATCTCCAAGCTTCATTACTCAAAGCTGGCTTTTAGTTTGAATTCAGGTCTCAATGTCTCGTTGTGTAAACTTGTAGAACATCTGACTAGTATTTCATTAATGCTGGTTTCCTTTACCTGTTCAAAGTAGCACACTGCGCACGCACACAGTGAGGACATGTCTAACGCTGGACACCAGCAGCTGACTTCCAGTGAAAGCTTTGGCTAATATCATCTTCACTGATACACAAATGCCAAGTAAGTCATCAACAAAAAGTCGATCCATGACCAGTGCAGTTACACCGACTTTAATAAATGTGACTACAGTTTGAAGAGCTCAGTCAGTGCTTTTAAATCATTTGTTCCACTAAGTGAGAAAAGTTTACATAAATTCATGTTGGCAATAAAAGAGCGGGGCAGAAGGGTCTACAGGTCAATGAAACTGACGATGCTTTTACTGCTTTGTGCTTGTTTTCATGTTACTCCACAAGGTCAGTGAAAGAACAAAGGTGCTAACCCCTGGACCAAAAGCAAATGGTCCAAGTGGGCGAGCTGCTGATTTTCAGATGGCAGGTCTACATCTAGAAGCACAAACACCAACAACCAAAGTGAAGCATTAAGACAAAACTGTCAAACAGGATCCACACATCCTGCCACAAACACATGCAAGACAACTAAATTGGTCCACAGAATAGATGTAAACTGACTAAACTACGACACAAATCAGACAAAAACAGATGCAACATGATCACAAACAGACACGTGTTGGCTACATGTTGATGCAAAATGACTGTAATCACACGTGCAACACTTCCTACATATTTGACAACAGAAGAAAAACACAAACAAAGTTGGAATGTATTTTTAATTTAGATTTTTTTTATTTCATGCCAAATCAGATGTTTTAAAAATCAAGCGCCAAATCACAAAGTCTCCTCCCTGTTTGTACTGTAAGGTCAAAACCCTACAGTACTACAGAGAACCCCAACAATCAAATGATCCCCCTCTGAGCAAGCACGAGGCGAAGAAAAACTCCCTTTAACAGGAAGAAACTTCCAACGGAACCGGGCTCAGAAGGGACGGCCATCCGCTGCGACCGGTTGGGGGGATGGAAATCAAAAAGGAGACGAGATGGCGTGAACTACAGTTGTTAGAATTTGGATTTGAGGTCCGATCTAAAAATCAGGGCTCGCAAAATCCCCGGGACGTCGGGCTAGCGGTTTTGCGAGCCCTGAAGTGTTATGGTTTATGTTATGGTTTAAATTTTGATTTGGTGCTAAAATTCTGCCTCAAGATGTTAAAAGAAGCAGGGCAGTGGGGGAAAGCCGGGATGGTGATTTTAATCATCGTTGGCTTTGATGCACCACCTAAAGGGCTTTCGCAGAGCTTTTCCCACCGCTGAAAAGAACCTGGAAATTTTGGATTTCTTTGGAGGACTGGGGATGACTCCCAGGCTGATTTTTAGATGCCTTATCACAGCCTCATCAAAAGATGAATTACTTTCCATCGCAGCATGTAAGACCCGTTCTGGGGAGCCAAACTCCCTGATGAGGGATTTGGCTATTTTCTTCATGAACTGCTTCTGGTCATTGATGAGACTCGTGGTGGACTCTGTGCTGCTGAGTTCAGGCTTGATCAGGTCTCTCAGACGGTTGATGGCCACGTCTAGTTCTGCTGACAGAGACACAGACTGTTTGGTCTCAGATTTAGATTTTATAAGAACGCTCGCGAAGAGGAAGAAGGCGAGGTCATCGGACAATTTCTCAACCTCGGAAGATGGCACTGACACAGAACCATTCTCTGACATTTTAGAGGAAACACCTGCAGAGCATTTTCCTGGATGCTCTGCAGGTGCAATGCCAGATTTTGGCGTTGCAGGTGACTTTTCAGATGCCAGAGAGCATTTCTCTGGAGAAATGCTCCCAGATTTTGACGTTGGAGGTGATGGTACAGATTCCTCACCACTGCTCGCTGAACCTGTGCTTGTTTCCTGCTTTGGGGTCTGTGTTCTTTTAATAAAGTTTTGGATGTCATTCACAGCCCCAGACACCTTGTCCATTTGAATCACTTGATCTTCGATGTCCAGCCAGAGTAAGAGCTTCTGTAGAAACCTTTCTACTGCGTCTTCTACGAGGACATAGAGGACCTCAGCAGAATAGGGACGCTTTGAGCCTTGTGTTTGTCGTGGAGTCCTGGAGATGACGGTGTCTGAGAGGGATCTACCCATTAGAGGTTCGGGGATTTCATACATTCGATCCGTCATCAGTAGATCAAACACTTTTGCCGTTAACCCCACAGTAAAGTCTCTGGTTGCCCCACTATTTCTACAGTTTTCCAAGGTTTTTTCAATGGAGAGCTCTTCTTTCTGAGTTAGTTTGTCAAACAACCGATTAACGTGGGATCTAATGGCGCCAAAGTCGATTGGAGAAGAACGAATGTACCGTAGAAGCATATTTTGGGAAGGGGCTTGGTTTGCGCTCAGGGGACGAGGACTATGAGGCTCTGACCCTGACAGGCTGACAGCTATGCTTTCATCGGAGGGCACCGTGTCACTCTTGGGCTGCTTGCAAACGTTTTTTTAGACAAACAAAATATTTCCTGTTTGTCTTTATTTTTTGTCTCAGCTCGTTTTTCATATTTTCAAATTGTTTTTTCGCAAACATGGAAAAGCGATGTTTGCGTGGTTTGAGCCCGGAGTGAGAGGTGGACGGCACACATTTGGAAAAGTCTCTCACCTCGTTGGTAATGAATCCTGCATTAAAGGCAGGTTTGAGTAAGCTACAGCTGTCACAGAGCTCTTCACTGCTTGAATCCACGTTTCCAAGTATCTCATTTACAATGTCAGCTGCAACCTGTTCTACTGGGGTTGCAGCTCGGATACTGTGGCTCTCTGCAGTGGGTTTTATTTCGCCTTGTTCTGTTAGAGCTGATTGGTCTGGGAGCTCAATTTCTTTCTCCTCATCATCTGAACCTTTATCTCCTTCTGTCATCTCTCCATCTGAGCTCCTTGATGACAGAATCAGAGAAGTCTCTTTGATTGCTGATTGCACTGACGAATCCGTGCT